TTCCACAGTACTCATTCCTTCTTTTCTTTTGATCTGACTCTACTCTTTGACTCATTTTGCACAGGCTGTGTTTTCTGGCCTCCTCATACCAAACATGTTTGGAGCAGGTTCGACAAACTGCAGTCTTAACTTGTGTTGTTCAGGTTTTTTGGGCAGGTGAGAACAAACTGAGCTGCAGCAAGACGTCTGCAAATGTTAGTTTCCTTTCTAACGGAACTGCGGGGCATTTCTGTAACAATGTAATCTGAATTATTTACAGGAATCTGCCTCTCAATGTAAGGCTTTAGAGGTGTACAGAAACAGATGTTGACATCTGGCCGTCAGCACTTACTCATTTATGTGAAACAAAGCTTGTGCTATTACTCATTCAGCTTTTCTTTTATGTGTTCTTAACGGGTATGAATATCAAAGATGGCAAATTACAGGAAAGCGCGCAGACACTGCCAGCAGGCTTGGTTACAGTTAAGGGTGGGTTATTTTTAACTTGCCTGCTGCAAAAAATAGCTTAATTGTTGGGATCACAAATTACTCTGTTCAGTGAGCAAGCTGTGGGCCCATGGTTAAGTTTTATTGAAGCATGTGGGTCTAAATGAAGAGAAAAAGCACAACTGTTGACTTCTCTTATTTGGGAGGCACATGATACATGCAGTAAATTAGGCTTTTTCAAAGTCTTTTCTTCTCATTTCCTTACTTCTCATTCTGGTAAGTCCAATCAAATCCTGTGTCAGGACTCTCACCTTATCTCAGGATATCCCAGTCATTTACACATAAGCAAAGCAGGGTCATTTGCCTCCACATGTGTGCACTAGACTGGGTTAAATGAATCTGGTGAAGCTGCTCCTGCAGTGTAAACAGTGCTTTGCATTGCACCACACTGAATTGAATAATCCCACAGCCTATTTGCATTGGAAACTTCTCTGGAGCATCACAGGCCATTGACAGTGTCCCCACATCCAGTCTTGTGATCTGTAAAATGCAGAGATGCACAGTGTTGAAGGTCATTAGATCACTGATTTGATGTATCATTTAAAGACCCTATCTGAAATAATATCATGGATCCTGAACCCCCCCCAAAATTACTGATAAACTCCAGATTAAATCCCAAAGCCTCATATTTCCCATGTTATGTTATCAAAAGATCTGAATCAACAGTTGGACAGTGAACAAGAATCTTTGTTGTACGTCAGCTCACAAGCTCCTCTCATCCCTGTGATTATTTCCCACCTCCAAATAAAAACCATGAAATAGGACTCAGGCTCTCCTGATTAGTCTTCATCAAAGGCCCTCTCTGTCTGATAGATTATCTCTGGTGCACAGTGCCGCTTTTGACCTTTATTCTAGTTTTTGAAGATGACGCAAATTGTTAAAACACACATTAATATTCCTCAGCATAAACAAGAATTAGAATTTGTGGGAACTAAAAGTTTTGTATAATTTGACTACCCGCAGCCAGTCAGTAAACAGAGTCCTGTGACTCTTGTGACATGTTGACCTACGTGACAAATGATTTCTTCCTACGTAAAAACGCATGAACAGACATGCAGGTTAGGTTAATTGGTGACTCCAAACTGCCTGTAGGTGTGAATGTGAGCGTGAATGGTTGTCTGTCTATATGTTAGTCCTGTGATAGTCTGGCGACCTGTCAAGGGTGTACCCTGCCTCTCGCCCAATGAAAGCTGGGATAGGTTCCAGCCCCCCACAGCCCTCAACAGGATAAGCGGTTACCAAAAATGAATGAATGATTACAGTGTGACAGAGCTGATGATATGTATTATTTAGTTCCGAAAACATTCAAGAACTTAAAAAATGTAAAAGTCAACCAAATGCCCAGCTGATCATTCACTTAAGTCATCCAGTCAAGTTCTTTAGAAACATTGCTAGCTTGTTAGCATACTTACCAGCATTTGGGTCTGATTTCTCCAAAAAGCCCCCTACTACTATTTGAATTGAGTGCACACAGTTGAACTGTCTTCAGTGCTTCCACTTGAACTGATATGTCAACTACTCGTCCACAGACATTTGAACTGCATTTATCCTTCTCCAAAACTGACAATTCAAGTGACAGAATCTTGTGCTCTTCAAATGACATCATAACTGCTTTCATCTTTTACCTGGCAGCTGACATTTTAACTGCATTCGTCACTTTGCCTTTAACTGACATTTAAACTCCTTTTAATGGTTACACTTTGACTGACACATCAAATGCTTTCAAGTCCTCAGCTTTGAACATAAAAAAATTTGAACTCCTCAAACAATGTTCACTGTCAGCCGATGCTTCACTCATTGCTCAGGCTTAAACTGAAACTTCTTACATTTTAATTGCTTGTTCAACTCTTTAGTATTTGGATGCCGCTTCAGCTACAGCTTCAACTGCTTCAGTGTTTCAATTGTGTCAGATGTTTCAAGTGCACACTTTCAGCAACGAGCACATTTTCAGTTTCTTCAGATGATGAGCTATGACTGAGATTTGTCTTTTAATACAAGTGTCACATGTGTCACCAGTGGTGAAGTATTCAGATCTTCATTCACAGCCTTACTTAAGTAAAAGTAAGGAAGTATTATCAGTAGAGTGTACGTGGAGTATATAAAGTAAAAGTAGTCATTGTGCAGTACAATGTTACCTGTCAGTGTACTATTATAAATGATGTTTTTGGAGTAATATTACTGCTGCATTAATGTGTATGTCGCATTTTCCTGCTTGTACATGTTTAGGTTATGCCAATTTAAACTCCTTTATATACTCATGGGTACTTTAATCTACAGCAATGCATCATATTCTATAAGATCATCATATGTTTGTAGCATGAGTGTCCTGTAAGAACAACCTTTCCCCAAAAAAACAACAACAACTCTGCTTTCAGCTTTGTGATGATACATTATCCAGCTGATCAAAGAGGATTTTTAAAGAGTTAATTTTGCTCAAGAACAGCAACACATTTGGAGATACATGTCTTTTATTGGACAGAAAGGGGATGAAAACTAATCTGCAAAATAACTAAAGCTGTAGTGTAAATAAAAATAAAAGTAAAAAGAATACTATTTACCTTTGAGATGTAGTGGAGTAAAGGCATAAGTTACAGTACTTGAGTAAGTATACTTAGTTTCATTGCATCATTTTGTGTCACGTGGCTTTCTCTTTGATCAATATTGAAACAACCAAAATCACAATAATGATAAGAACACATCATGATACACAACCAGGAGCATTGTGGATGTTGGCTGTTATCACTGAGTCAAGGATTGTGAATTTGGAAGACACTGACATTGAGCAGGGCAGTATTTACTTTAACAGGCCTCTTTGCCTCCAGCATACTCACATGCACAGTTTGACAAATATGTTATAAAGACAAACGGGAACCTCCTTGGAATTCAAATGAAGCCAAGAATCAGGTCACGGTAAGATGGAAAGAGAAAAAGAAGAGAGGACACACCTCCATATCAAACACATCAGTGTCTGACATCCTTGTGAGGTTGAGAAATGGTCCCATATGGCAGCACTCTGTTAGTCATGTCAGCACGGCCAGACAGGCTTTTCTCAGCACTGCCATGGCAGCTGTCACTGTCTGGAGGTTGTTTAGAGAGGCCACTACTGTTGTTGCCCATCATAAAATCAAGTTTTATGGATACGATATTTGACGTGTCAATATTTCTGCCACTGCTCGACCCAAATGTCAACAGAATTTCTTCTTAACAGTGGTAGATCTACATGGATATTGGTCACAGGTTTGCTGTTTGCTGAAGTAAAATAAGGTCACTGGTTGATGCTGTTTGATTTTGGGCTGATAGCACTGGTGATTCTGGTAATGAAATTACCACCTGGATGCTGTCTGTTTGCCAACGCAGACCTGAATTTACAGCCTGGAAAGATAAATAGAATGCACTAACACAAGCACTTGCATGCTAGTGTGTGCACACACACCTACACGTCCCTCACGTCACATTCGAGCCTGACATTAGTTGCAGGCTCCTTGAGAGTGTGACCTTTTCCATCGTGAGTTGATAGGTCCACTAATCTTTCCAAGTTTGAGCTGCTGTAGGTCCCCGCTCTTGGGTCATCGGGCTAAATGACAAGCCATAGGTTGATGGAAAATCCATAGTGTTATTGCCATACATTACTTTTATTTGATTGGGCCTGTAGTGAGCATAATGCAACGCCGAGGTGGGGTGCTGGTGAAGTAGCAGGGCTCCGTTCGGGTCCAGGGACCATTTGTCGCTCCTCCAACCCCCCCAGTGCCCAGTGACATTGATGTATGTTCTCTGCCTACCATCCATAGGGCTGACCCTGTGAGTGCTTGTGAGTGCTGTAAATCACTATGTGCTATTGATTTTTCCATTAGAGGTCAGCCACCCTGAACGCCTCTGACAGGGTGCTCACAAACACCTCGCTGTGTGTGAGAGGGAATGTTAAAGGAAAGCAACATGAGGTCATGTGACTCTGGATGGGATAGCTTGCAGGCAGTGAATTTCACCACTTTGACTTTCTATACAATATATAACCACCAATTTGTATTAACATGCATGCAACTTCTTTTTTTCTATACCAGCCTGTATTTGCTGGAGTCTTGCCCACATTCTAATAAGCATTCATATTCCTACAGCACTAAAGTTGTTCTTGGTATAGTGAGTGATGTGCCAGCATGAGCGCTGACGTGTGAGCATCTGTAACACCCTGCTGTACATACATACTGTGTTGCAGGCACATCCCTGATGGGAGACGAAGAGGGGCAGACATTATGCTTGTGGAACAAGCTCACTAAGTGCCTTCTGCCTACATTAGCGAGGCACTTTGTCTTGTGTAAATATAGTAGCATGTCACAGAGTTGAATTAGGAAGAATTGTGGAAGCCCAGGCGCCTTGCTCATTTAGGTTTTGTGCTCGACTGAATAATTCAACCTAAAGTTTGTTTATTAGGAGTAAATGGGCTTACTGCGGTGTTGTTACAGCTGTTATGGGTGCACTTTACCTCTTTTTTCACCTGTGTTTTCTCTCTATCTTTACAGACAGTACAGTCACACAAGCCTCACTTCTTGGCAGTGCACTGTCAGGAGGTGGGCGGGAAGAATTATGAGGCATCCATGTCACACGTGGATTGTTTTGTGAAGTAAGTATTGGGCTCATAATGTGGTTATTTGCCTAATTGTTCTAATATAAAGGTAATAGCTGAGTAGTTTTCTATGATAAGGAAACACCCCCTTGATGTGGAACATGCAGGAGTTTTAAACTGGGCGGACTACTCCCCCCACTGGTCGCATCAAAGCTGTACTTCAGCACAGCAAAAAAAATTAAAAAAAAAAAAAAAAAAAAAGATATGCTTTATAGGGAAAAAAGACCAGGGTAGTCTTTTTAAATATGGTTCAACTTGAAGAAAACCTGGGTGCTTCTCTTTTTGATTGACATTTCCATATATCTGTGTGTGTGTGTGTGTGTGTGTGTGTGTGTTCTGTCCATCAGAGAGCTGTTGTCCAGTGATGCCATGCGAGAGTACAACAGAGCCCGCGTCTACCTCGATGAGAACTACAAATCCCAGGAGCATTTCACAGTAAGTGCTGTTTGATATGGTGATGGTGCATTCACATTCTGTGGGAAAGTACAAACACATTCTTGGAATTTTAAGTGATTTTACTTGAAGCTTACATGTGTTACATGGATGTGTTGAATCACACGCTCAGCAATTTAGTTCCATTTTTCAGGTCTGCAGTTTCATTCAAGGTGGATTTTTAGTTTTCTTTCTTGATTCAATCTGTTTCAGAAACCTGGTTTTTATTCAGGAGTGATTAGCCCAAACTTTACACACACAAAATAACATTAGAACCCTTACTGTCATACAACCATAGCGCTCAACGTTTATTGACCAAGTATAAATTAATCACTACAGTTAGCTTACAGCACAAGCACTGATTACAGAATATAACTTCTGCGACACTTGTGAGGTGCCACTAGTTAGCATGCCACTAATAGCTTTCTACAAGTTGTTACATGTAAGCGATTAGTAAAGGTGAAAGTATGTAAATGGACCACAGATGTTTTTGATATTATGCATGCATTTCATGTCATGTTTGGGTTGCTGCTGCACAAAATGTTTCTGAGGGCTGCCATCGGACAGCACTTTGAGCTACAATGTCTTACAAGGTGGTAAACGGAAAGCAGAATGACATATGTATTCAGCACAAAAAGACTCTAAGTTATGTCATATCATTACATTACTACACTTTCAATCTAAATCGTCTTGACGGACCCCAATTTCTCTGAATTCTGATGAATCTAACAAGGAAGCACATCAGACAGTGACACTGCGTCATCACACAAGTCATTCTGTGATCACAGCCTCTTAAATTAGGACACTGTGGTGGAACTTTAACTTGTGGTTGAAATGTGACGTTCTTTCGCTGTAGATAAAAGATAAACTCAGAACTGTCACCCACGATGCGCATGTCAGGTGTGAAACGGCCGAGCTTAACTGTCAGTTGCAGCCAAAGTCTGCAGAAAACGTTGACCATGGTGTTTGGTTTTGAATTGCTCACAGTGACTTCATAATTTAGAAGGCCTCATTTACTGATCTGATCTGAAGACAGACCACAGACAAGACACAAGAATTGCAAACTGTTATAAGCTGCAGACCTGCAGCTGTTGGCTGATACAAAGAAAACGTATACAAATAGTTCGTGGGATCTACTCATTGTATTATGCACAGAGAGGTATTGTTTGGAGTAAATTCTCAATGTGTAGTAACAACAGATGGCCACAAGATGACAGTAGATAGTTGGAAATAATTTTGTTGCCAGTGCTCAGATTAAAACTTGTTTTATGTTTTGGGACTGTTTTTTTTTTGATTATCAGGATTTGTAAGCAAATTTTGAATTCTTAAGCATCAGCTCGTACTTACTTTTAGATATCAAAATTAAGTCTTAATAAAGTTAATTAAAGTCAGATACACTGACCCAACACTCCTTGGCTTACGTGATAAAACTCAGTCAGTGCAAATATTTGAATCCGTCCAGTTTTTGTGAAAGTATTCAGTCCAATAGTGGGATAATGTGTTGTACACTGTCGTCTGAAAGATGCATATTAATTATTATCATCTTCATATATCACGTTTTTGTTTATCAGATGCATTAGTAAATAAAACTAACATCTCTGGATTTGATCGTGTTCTGAATTCTGCTTGTGATTTAACTTAAAACTTGGTGAATGACCCTTTTCATTCATTAATATGTTCCACAGTTGAATAGACATTTTGCATGTTGGCCTCTTGGTGGAGCCAGATACTCAAACCTAACCCCAGCAGCAGAGGACTTACCTCTGAAACCATCATAAAGCGCAGTTTTATGTCCGATACTTAATTGACAGACTACAGATGGATCAGATGATCATATCTGCATTCCCAGGAGATTATGTAGAGAAAAAGGACTATAGAGTAACACGAGGAGATTGGTCCAAATATGAACTGTGGTCCCATTTTGTGTGTGATCACTGAGTTGTGTGTGTCTTGCTTCTCCTCCATGATTTTGCCGTTATCACCACGCTACGCTGCACCTCCACAAAAGCTCATAAATCACAGCAACCACTGAGTCACATTTGCTCTTTTCAAAAAAATATTACAAACATCGGCCTTCGCAAAATATAATTATCTGTCATTTCATATAAGCGTCGGTAATATCCCGGCATTATGAGCTGTTTATTTAATGGTGTTTGTCTATAGATTAACCTTTTTGTTGTATTTTCATTTTCATCAAATAGAGATGGCAGTTTGTGCTTCTCTTTGTGAAGCAGTCAGTGGAAAGGGAAACATCTGATGCGCTTTCTATGATGTTGATATTGAAATCCTGGCAACAGTAAATATGAATAGACTCTCCAGTCTTTCTCACACAGGGCTTGCCATTTAGCTTTGATGACATCACCCATATTTGTTTTCTCAATCTTCGATTTCTTCTCCCCATCGTGCTCCGGGGATAATTGTTTGTTGTCTGCCCCGCCTGTCAATTTTCAGATAATGTAAGTGGGAACACTGTTCTGGGTCCAGAGCTTTCACTTTGTATGAGTGTGTGTTTTTGTTGTCTTTTTGTACGCGGTTATGTGAGTTTCTTTGGAAGTAGCCAAGTGAATGTTTTGGATGAGTGGGAGTGTAGTAATGTAGCGAGTGTATGTTAAAGGCCAGTGAGATTGTTTACATGCCTGCCCAGTGTGAGTGTGTGTTTGAACTGCGTTTCTGTGTCAGTGACAGAGAGGAATGTGATTGATAAATGAATGTGTGAAATTCTGTTACATAAGTTTTTTGTTTTGTTTTTTTACAACTTTGATCAGAGCTGAAAAAAAAAATTAAAATTATGAGATCGACACAAACTTAATCAGCAAAAAAATCCAAATAATTCCGTGGTTCCAGCTTCTAAGATGTGGATTTATGTTTGTTTGCTTAGACTTCTATTATAGTAAATTAAACCTATTCTGGTTTTGGACTATTGAAGGGACAAAACAAGCAATTTGAATATGTGACACTGGGCTCAATTTGGGAAATTCGGGCCTTTTATTTATTTATTTACTTATTATATTTAAATTTTTTCTGATATTTTATGGACAAAAAGATAAATCAAGAAAATATTCAGCATGTAATAAGCAATGAAAATGATCATTGTTACTGTGCTTAAATCTTAAAAAAAAAAGAAAAAAGAAAAGATATAGATATAAATATGTATAGGACATGTGGACTCTGGTATCTTTGAATAGCATTATTTCAAATACTGTTGACATGGATAAAGAATATCCCCTTTAAAGTCTTGAAAGTTTGGAATTCTAGAGCCAGTCAAAAAAAAACAAGTTATTTAGCAAGGAAAGGGACCCAAAATGTACTTTTGTGATATTTGTTGAGCAAAAGCAGTTGATTTTTTCATTAAAAGCGACATATTTCTCCCAAACAGGGCTGCAAACAATGAATATTTTCATTGTGGATAAATCTGTCTATATTTTCTTGATTATTAAATCAGTTTTTTTGGCCTATAAAATGTCAGAAAATGGTGAAAAATATTGACCAGTGTTTCCCAAAAGCAAAGATGATGTCCTCAAATATCTTGTTTTGTCTACAACCAAAAGATATTTAGTGCACTGTCATACAAGAAATAAAGAAACCAGAAAATATTCACATTTAAGAAGTTGAAATTGGAGAATTTTAATTTTTTTTCTCTACAAACATACTCAAATAGGTTAATTGATTATCAGATAATTGATCATTAATTTAATAGTAAACTTATCAGTTTATAGATAGATTCAACCTGCTGGCACATAATCTAAAATGCGCTGTAGAGGTTGAAGGGAGCATTGTCTGTTTACTGTATCCGAATTTCTCTTAATTAAACTGTAATAAAGTCTCGATGTTATTACTGCTACATGTAACACCTTGATGCTGAATCTGAACAATGAGAAGTGGAGGCGAGCTGGAGCTCCTCCTCTCCTCCCAGAGGAAAGCAGCAGTGATGGGGAAGAGCTTGACTGACACGTCCCCCCTAACGGCTGAGCCCGGGCCCGGTGTTTTACAGCCCTGTTAAGGTATACAGCAGGTAAAATGTCAATTAGGAAGGCCCGCCCTGATAACTCAACTCCCAATCCACTTGTTCTCGGCCATTAATATTTATCGTGGGCCCGGCCCTGGAGCTGCAGCCAGTGTCATCTGGAATGATGTGCGGTAATGTTACCGCTTCCTGACACACACTCGTACTCTGGTGTCTGTACGGCTTAACAGAAACGCCTGTGAGTACCCGCCATGCACAAACACACACCTACCACTGTCACACGGTCTAATCAAGCTATCCACATACAGACAGTGACACACAGTGGCACACACTGCCTCCTCAGCCCTCAGTTGTTCCAGGGCATTTTAATGGGAAATTAAAGGCATCCCTCATGTCTGTGGTCTACAGGACAGGAATGAGAGCAGCGACAGAGGATAAATCAGGCTCTGCGGCTTGACAGGACACCGCTGTCTCCTTTTACCCTGTGGTTGTGTGTGTGTGCATGCATGGGTGTGTTTGTATTTGCAACTGCATTCACCCTGAGGGACAGTGTTATAGTATGCAAGCACTTTGTCCTGAACAATTTGTGTCATGGATCTAAGACGCTTGTACTGGAAGTTCAAAGCGTGCTGTCTCCAGTCTTGGATTTCATTATCTTGAGGTCAGTGTCTTATGTTAGAGCATACACAAACTGCAAGTGGTTACAGACTTCTAATGAAAAGCAAGTGACAGTCTGGCCTAAATTAATACCTTTAAAGAAGATTTAACCGGATTTAAGTGTGGTTGCAGAGACCACATACAGTAATACTACATTATTTGGAACAAGAGAGATGTAACGATAAGGCCTCGTGAACTTGGTCAGTGGGTCGTTTGATTCATTTAATGTCAAATAAGTTGTACTTAACATAAAACCACCAAGGCCTTGTCATTTCTGAAGTACATTCGGATTTGAATGGACATTTACAGTTAATAAACTCCTCTGTGATCATCAGATAACTTGAGAACAAAAGGAGGGCATACAATGGAAGTCTAAGGTCAA